CTCCGCGCGCCGCCCGCGCTGCGCCCGCCCCGGGCCCCGGTCGGGCCCTGAGCCTCTGCCGGCGCCCCTCTCGGACCCCGGCCCTGTCTCCTCCATCTCCGTTCCTCTGTCTCTCTGCTCCTATCTCGCGATCTCTGTTCCATTCCATCTCTGTCTCTGTCTCGCCATCTCTCTTCCAATCTCTGTGCCTCTCTTTGCCAGCTGGTCCTGTCACTGTCTCTCTGCCTCTAACCTTCTCTTTGTCTCTCTGTCCCTGTCTCTGCCTCCTGGCCATAGCTGCGACTTTGTGTTCCCAAACACAACAAACTCCATCTCCCGTCCTCACACTCCTGGAAACAGAGCCAAGCCTCCCAGAAGCCCTGCGGTTTAAACAGCTCGGCTCTCTGCCTCGTCCAGTATTTCTCCAATTTCTTTTCTTTTTTTCTTCCTTTTTTATGCTGGAGGAACCATCCACCATTTCTGGGTCACAGCCTTTCACACCCCACACCAAGGAACAGAGTCTGGGACACTCTCCTACCCAGACCGAGTCCCTGCTGGGCTTCAGGGGCCTGTCGGTGGTGGCTTCTGGAGCACTTGGGCAGGGCCGAGAGGGTTCTGGGTGAGCTTTACCTGGAGGACAGCACTCATGGCCCAGAGGGAGTGACACACACCCCCCGCAGCTGGCAGCTGGGGCGTGCTGTTCTTTACGGAACATAAACAGCGGTCACGGAAGATAAACAGCCATCAAACAAAGCCGCTCTGTGGCCACATCTGAAGGGAGACAGAGAGGAGGACTCACTGCAGCCGCGGAAGTGAACACACACCCCTCTTAGTTCCAAGAGGGGAAGGAGCGTCCTGAGCTCCTTCCCCTCCAAGAGCTTTTTTATTTTTTTAAAAGAATTTTAATTTTAATTTATTTATTTACTTTTTTCCTCTAAATTTGACCAGAGAGGGATAGAGAGAAAGAGAGAGAGAGAGAGAGAGCGAACTGCCAGGTCGGGGACTTGAACTGCAGTCTTCCACGTGGGAGTCCAGTGCCCTTAACCACTATGCCACCTGTTGTTCCCCTCCCAGAGGTTTTTGCCTTAGGGTGCTGTGCTTGCTGGAGACAGAGAGACAGAGACAGTGAGAGGGAAAATGAGAAATCACCCTTTTGGGGGTTGGCTACATGACAATCCCTTCTCCATTCTCCTGGGATCTTGGACACACACACACACACACACACACACACACACACACACGGCCGGCATTGTTTTAAGACGCCAGGTCTGGGACTTGAACCACACAGTCATGTGGGATGTGGGATCCAGTTGCTTTAACCTTCATGCCACCCCAGGGCTTTTCTTTTTTAAAATTTTAAAAATAATGATTTATTACTATTTATTTCTTTTCAGAGAGATTTTTTGCTATGGGCACCTGCACTTGCCAGAGAGCCAGAGAGGATCAGAGAGACAGAAAGCAAGAAATCATCCCCTGGGGGGATGCCCATGCCACAATCCCTTCTCAACTCTCGGAATCTGGGGCACCAATGTACAGACACCTGAGGAGTTTCGAGCCGCTAGGTCTTGGACTCTGTCGTCGGCCACGTGGGAGTCCAGTGGCGTATCTGCTATGCCATCTGCTGGCCCTGATTATTAATATTTTTTAAATTCACCACAGAGACAGAGCGAGGGAAAAGTGAGAAAGCAAGCTACCAGGTCTGGGACTTGAACCATGGGTGGCCATGTGGGAGTCCAGTGCCTCAACCACCACAACACCTGCTGGCTCCCCAAGCACGCTCTTTAATGACCACATGAAGGTGAGGACCGGATGTTGTCAAAGTGTTTATTGCTGGCTGGGACATGGGTACACAGGGAGCTGGGGGGCCCGAGGGTCTATCTTCCCGCCCCCGCAGCCCCACTGCGCATGTGGGCTGAGAGGCAGGTGACTCTCCAGGATGTTACTCTGCGTCAGGGCTGCGGGGCGCTGGTGCTTAGGGAGGAACTCGTCCTTGTAGACCGTGGAGAAGAAGCGCTGTCCACCCAGGGGGGGCTCCACGTGGCTGTACTTGCACTGTGGAGGCAGGGTGGGCCACGTGGCAGGGCAGCCTACAGGGTGGCCGACCTCCCCCCAAGCCACCCAGGGTCCCTGGACCACCCTGGGAGCATCAATTCTGGATGGTAATGGCTCCCCGGGGAGAGCAAAAGGGGCCCCAGTCTGCCTGACCCAGGAGCCGCTTGAGAAGCTGGAGAGAAACTGGGGTGCCCCTGGAGTGACTCTAGAGCTGGGATAGCCCTAAGTGATTCTGAACCAAACCCCACTTGGGGCTGGTGGTATAGATGACCCCGGGAATACTGAGCAATGACTTTGAGGCTAGGGTGGCATTAAGATGACCCCTAAGACTGGGGTGACCCAGGAGGACTTGACCTAACCCTGAGTGTGGGTTGAGGTAACGCTGCACTGATTTGGGGGGTACCTGGTGCAGGACGCACCCCTCCCTCTCCCTCACCCGCTGCAGCATCTCCTCCGTTATGCGGGCCCGAACTGTTCCGTGCGGTTTCAGCATCCTTTGGTTCGTGGTTAAAAAGTCGAATTCTGGACAAGCGGGGTGGGGACAGCTGGACTAAGGGACCGAGGGAGGCGAGGCAAGGCCAGGCCGAGGGCAGTGATGTCCGAGGTGAGGGTTGGGAGAGAGTTCAGGGACCATCCTGGGCCAAAGCTGGAGGATGGGCTCTGAGTCGGGTAGGAGGGAGGAGCCAGGTAGGGGCGGGGCCAGGTGGGAGGGGCGAGGTGGTCAGGGGCGGAGCCAGAGCCTGACGGAGGGGGAGGGGTTAGGGTAGAGCAAGGGGGACAGAGAAAGGGGCGGGGCTCCGACTGAGCTGGAAGGGGTGGAGCATAGGGGGAGGTGCCTTGGAGGGAGGGCGTGGCATGAGGGGGCGGGGCTTCCCCGAAGCAGAGCGGAAGTCCTGGTCAATTCAGGGTGGGATTTAGCTGTTCAGGAGGAGGAGCCACAGTCGGGCCAGGGCGGGGTCAAAGCAGTGGTGGGGCGGGGCTTTTGGGAGAGGGGCGGAGCCACACTCACCACCGGTGCCCTCAGGCAGGTTGCTGCTTAGCAAATGGAGGTTGGGCGCTTTGTGTGGCCGATTTGTGTCCACCGGGCAGTAGTCCGAGCCCATGGTGGTCTGGAAGAAGTGTTTGAGCAGCTTGTCCTCGCCTAGGGTCACGTGACTCCGCAGTTTCTCGTGGCACACGTGGCGGCCTGGTGGCTGGGTCGGCGGTGGCCGCTGTAGGACCACATGACATCTGGGACACTTCCATGACCGAGTCCAGGATGTCCCCGGGCCCAGTGGGAGAGAGGCGGTGACTGCTTGTGTGACTTTGGACAGCTCCCTCACCCTCTCTGGGCCCCATGTGATGGCGCTGGGAGTTGGTACTGTTGCCTCGTTTTGGAAATTGTGTTTTTTTTTTTCCTTTTAAGAATTATTTTTATTTAACTTTATTCATTTATTTTAATTTGATCAGAGAAGGATGAGCGAGAGGGAGAAAGAAAGAGAGAGGGAAAGTGAGAAAGCAAGCGATCAGGTCTGGGACTCGAACCGTAGTCAGCCATGTGGGAGTCCAGTGGCCTTAACCACCATGCCACGTGCTGGCCCCGTTTTGGAGTTTTTAAGTGACTTACTCTAGATCCCAGAAATAGATCCAGGAAATCCACACGTATTCATGTCAAGGTCACTGCCGCGGGGCCTTCGCACCTGTTAGTCACTGCCTGGGAAGCCCTTGTCCCTGGCCAGCCCCCGCCTTCTCCCGCGGCCCCCTGACCTGGCCATAGAAGTACTCCCTGGTGGTGGTGAGACTGCCTGGGCCCGGGCGCCAGTTCCCTTTCAGGATGTGCGACTCTGGAGTCTGGTCGTGGTGAAGAATAAAAGGCTCTGGTGGCAGAGAAGGTGCTGAGCATTCTGGGAGCTGCGGCGAGAGCCGTGGGCGGGGCTGGCAGCAGGCTCTCACCGGGCTCCCGGGGGTAGAAGTGGTCGGAGCTGGTGGTCCTGTTGTGGAAGAGGCCATCTCCAGGGCGGATGCTCACGTGGTGGAGGTGGGCCGCGGCCTGGGCCTGGTCATACCTGCAGGTTAGGTAAGGTGGATCCATCCGGGCCCTTGCAGCGCCCAGGAAAGTGGAGGTGGGCAGGGTTGGCGGTGGCCGTGGGAGATCCCAAGCCATAGCGGGTTATGCTGACCAGGGAGGGTGCCCTTGAAGGCGGAGCGCGGGCCTCCAGCCCTCAGTGGCCGTCCACATGCTACTGAGAGGCAACTGTCTCTAACTCCTTTAAAAGAGCTTGGGTATTTATTTCAGTTTTGCTCTGGGGTGTGTGTGCTCACTGGAAAGAGACAGAGGAGGACAGGGAGTGAGAAGTCACTCCCCGGGGGATGGCCCTGCCACAATCCCTTCTCCTCCATTCTCCTCTTGGAAATTTGGACATGCATATGCACATGTACCCGGGCTGAATTTCAAGCTGCTGGGTCCAGCATTCAGACCGCCGAGTCGATGTGTGGGATCCAGGTTCCTGAACCCCCACACCACCTACTGGCTCTGTCATTTGTTCCCTTTTTTATTTTTTAGAATTATTTACTTTTGGACCAGCAGGTGGCGTGGTGGTTAAGGGTGCTGGATTCCCACATGGTCAATCGTGGTTCGAGTCCCAGACCTGGTGGCTTGCTTTCTCACCTTCCCTCTGTTTCTCTCTCTTTTCTCTTGCTCTGTCCCACTCTGGTCAAATTAAAATAAGTAAATATAGTTACATAAAATAATTATTTAAAAAAAAGGATTATTTGAATTATTAACAATAACAATACATTTTATTTTATTTTTTCAAATTGTTATAGGGCAAATGTGCTTACCAGAGAGAGATAAGGAGAGAGGGAAAGTGAAAAAAAAAAAACAAACAAAAACCCACCAGGGCTAGGACTCAAACCATGCTCTGCCACATGGGAGCCCAACACCTTAACCACACTGCCACCTGCTGGCCCCTTATGCACAGGTCTTACCAGCACTCCTATGAAGCTAGCCCTATTTTTGTTTGTGGTTTATTTATTTCTTCCATGAGCAAGAGAGACACACAGAGAAACAGAGATAGAGAGACAGAACCCCAAGGTCTTGACACCACGATTCAGCCCCAACCTCAGCCGGCCGGATCCTGAGCACACACGTTTGGCGTGACCCTGGGGCCTTCCCATGTGAGTCAACCTCAGAGCGCCAACCACTACACCACACTCCCTCACCCCAGTTATTCCATCTCGGCGGGCAGGCAGCGGCCCTTCGGTACCTGTCTGGGGACAGACCTTGGGGTCCGTAGGCCTGTTTCTGCTCTGAGCACAGCGGTCCGAAGCCGAGCGTGCTGTCTCCCAGCTGCACGCTGGAGGAGGCCTGTGGGCAGACAGACGGGAAGGCCAAGGGCACCCAGCCTCCACGACTGCCCTCCCCAGCACCCCCCAGCCTCTATTTACCCTCTTACACATCAGGGCAGGTGGGCCTGGTAGGCCCAGGAACTGTCTCTTGTAGGAGGTCTCGTCCTGTCTCCCATAGCCCCACTTGAGGGTGTTGGGGCCCCCTGAGAATAGGCAAGAGGGGGACAGAGAGAATACAGTGGGTTTCCTGCAGCCTGAAACCTGGTAGGATTTGATTCCTTGCTGGGAAGAGGAGGTGGGTGGTCCCGACCAGTCTAGACTGAATGCCATCTGGAAAATACTAAAAATGGTTTTAAAAAAACACACAAAAAAACTCATCTGGAAGAGCTACCCAGTATTGAGCCGGGCATCTGAGTTCAGCTTTGTACCTTCATCTTGGGGCTCACGTTATTTCTCTCTCTCTCTCTCTCTTTAAATATTTTTTTTGTTGGGGCCAGCAGGTGGCGTGGTGGATAAGGGTGCTGGATTCCCGCATGGCTGACTGTGGTTCAAGTCCCAGGCCTGGTGGCTTGCTTTCTCACTCCCCC